TTGAAGCAGCAATCAGAAAAGAGTTCCCTTTTAGTATTTACGCGAGAGCAAAACGTCTGGCCGAGCTTTAGCGCAGAGCTTGCACAACATCTTCGGATCCGGAAGAACAGAGCCGATGTGCACAAACTCTGGGGTGATCGCGCGTTTACAAGCGATCTCCTCCACAGACTCAGCCGAACAAACATGAAATCTGTACTCATAGCTTGAGCCTTTTTCTGGGGCCTTGATAAAGAACTCCGTCAAAGTAGCCTCGCGATCGTCAGAGTCGTCGATGACGTCGTCCGCCAGAGCACACTGTGGGGTGAAGTCCTTGGAAATTTCCGCGACCAGGTCCTTGATCATAAGGGCTGGCAGTGAGGACCTCGAGCGAGTGTACTTGAGGACGAGCGGGCCCGGGTTCTTCCAATTCGCCTGGACCCCGATCTCCTGCTCCGTACGTTTGCAATGGACCGCTTGATCCAGCATGGTCACACGAGCGGAGTGCCAGGTGAGCTTTGTGACCAAGTCGAGGAACTCTTTGGCCACTCCAGCTTCCCGCCCTGCGTGCCAGACCAGATGGTGGAGCCACTGCAGCGATCTCGCGTAGTCAGGTGGTGTCTCCCGCCACTTCTCCTTTGTTTCCAGATCTGGGATCCAGAAATCTCGCTCCACGAGAGGGAACTCCAGCTCGAAGAGCTCCAAGCCGACCTTAAACCATGTAGCCCGGGAGAAAGCCACGTCGGGAACAACGAACTTGGTTCCACGACGTTTGCGCTCTGACTTCGTCTGCCACGAGACCCCGAAGAGACCGTCTTGCTTGACCTCGAGCTCGTGGGGCTTCACATGAATGGCATCATCGAACCTTAGTGATGCGAAGATCATGCAAAGAACCCACCAGATAAAGACCCGAGCGGGTCTAGGGTGATCATTGTGTGCGACGAACCCCTCCATGGCAGCGACCAGCTCGACAGGGAAGGGGTCCGCTTCCTTCAAAGGCTTGCCTCTCTGGGTGAAGATCTCCTTCTCGAGCGCTTTGATCTCGGCCGACTCGATAGAAGGGAGAGCGATATTTGTCCTGAATGAGACCCAGCGCAACGCCATCCGAAGGGATGGCAGCACCGTTGGTCCGCACTCCATGCCGTCGAGCTCGATGGCATACTTTAGGATCAGATCGTTGGTAATGGGGTAGAACTGCGCTCCCGACCGATGGGCCCACGATTCGAACTTCTCGAATCGGCGAATATGATTCGACATTGTCGATGGAGCCCCTGAAGTGAAAACCAGCAACTGGAGGCGAGCTTTCTCCTCCGGAGAGAGCAGTCCGTGATCTGGGGCCTTTGGCTTCGCGTGATCACCTGCCCGATCAGCGATGGCCTTGAGCCTCTTAGCCCATTTCTGTTTCTCGGCATTCTCCTGATCAAGGAGCGGCGTGCTGGAGCTGCTCATCGGCTTTTTCGCCGCCAAAGAAGGGCGAACGCCGGGCGCCAAAACCGGAGCCGCCAAAGCCCGAATCGCCATGTCTCGCTGGGGCTGGAACTCGGCGATCGAGCGCGAGCTGCGCTGACGCGGGATCTTCTCGCAGCGGGAGAACCCCATCTGGTAGCCGAGCGACTCCTCAAAGAGCGTCTCAGCGGCCTTCGCGAAGACGTAGAACTGTTCGAGCATCTGGGGCCTCGCTGCGAACACCTCGTGAGCCTCAGGAGCCAGCTTTGAGGTCCACTCGTAGACCTTCTGGGCGAACATACCCGGAGTCTCGACCTCCATTGCGAGCACTACCTGCAGATTTGCAAGCTGTGTACCCAGCAGAGCAGACACGAACGCTGCATCGAAACAAGGGTATGCGAGAATTTTCGCCGTCCATCTGTCAGGGGATGCTGTGACCTGCAGCATCGCCCTTGGGAGCAATCTTGAGAGCGAGCTGCTATCGGCAGGAAGAACCGCCAACTGCGAGCTTGCATCACGAGCATCCCAGGAACGACGAACGAACGAGAGAAGGAGAGAGAGCGTGACTTCCCGAGAGCCCCCTTTTCCCCCCCCCAGCATGACAGTTGCTTGCAAAGACAGAACATGAACAACTGCATGCAGAACTGAAGCAAGACCTAACAGAACGTGCCGGACTGAACTTGTGAGCTGCAAGCAGAGCTACTCAGTACACTTCGCGCGACCGAGCGGCTCGACTTTTTGATGCTCTTCCCGAGCGGGCTGTAAGAAGGTAAAGCGACAGCAGGCTACAGGAACTCGAAAGCAAAATTAAATCGCTCGTTCTTGCGAGCTTGCGCCCTGAAACAAAACTGGGCGATCGCCACTTCGCACCCTCGATCACGGTGTGCGGTGTGGCCTGAAGGAGGTTGGCTCACCGATCGGCCCAAGCAGATTCTGCGGGTCGTCCTGAGCAGGCTCCGCCTCGATCACCTCCCGAACCGTCACGGTGGAGGTCTGGGCCGACGGAGCCGAGCGGCCGCCCTGCATGAACGTCGACCCTGGGCCCGTCATCTCTGCAAAGAGCGCCGGCGTGAGCTTGGCCGTCGATCGCGAGAAGGAGCGATCGTCCCGTGCCTGATCCCTGACTGGATCCGACACATGACCACGTGTGTCCTCCTCGTCGTCCTGGTTGTAGTTGACCGGATCGACGGCTGAGGCGAACGCCCTGGCCTGAAGATCATCCTGGGCTCGCGAGCGAAGCTGCACCTCGCCCGAGCCGGCCGGGACGTCCATCAGAGCACTGGCTGAATCAGCAGCCGAAGACCAGGCCTGCTGGGCGAGCGCCGGAGGCCCGCGAGGAACGGGAGCCACCGCAGCCCCATCATGTGACATCTCGGCGAGCGCCTTGACCGGCACGATCTCCGGCTCCCGCACAAAGAGCTTGCTCTCCGTCTGCACATGAAAATTGCCGGCGTCGAGCCCACCGACAAAGGAGACCAGAACTCCAGCCTTCGCGGGATCGAGCGTCACCGCACCATGCCACCAGTGCGAGTGAGCTGCTGCAAGCTGAGCGAACTGCTCAGTCTGCTCCGGACCCTCGACTCGTGCCCTCTGATCACGGCATCGAGTGATGGTCTGGATCAATGTCGGCCCGCTGATATGCGAGACCGTCAGCCATGTCGCAGGCACAGAGGTGCGAGAGCACTTCAGGTCGATCTTGTTGTTGGCATCGCGAAAGCGAAACTCCACTCGATCTGCATCGTTCCCAAGAGCATCTTCTGAGGAACGATCAGCCACACGGAGCTCGAAACGCGATCGCGCACTGTCACCAGCGACCACGGTGCCCTTTGGCCCGATCGAGTAGGTTCGACCGCCGCACTCGAAGGAGAACACCGAGACCCGCCAGCCTGAGAAGGCCGCGATCACCACAGACAGCCGAGCACGTCCTTGGCGAACGCCTCGGATGAAGTACTCGTCCGCGAACTGTTGCTGGACCGATAGGTCCGTGTCCGCTCGGTACCCACGGAAAATCCAGTGAAAAAGGATCTCATTGCCGTTGTACAGCTTGACATCAGTGTACGACGGCGACGTGTCCCTGAGCACTGGCCACGTGAAAGGCTGAAAAGCCACGTGACTCAAGGCACGAGCTGTGTCAGGATCCCAGCCACCACAAGGAGCACCGGTATGCGAGTCGATCGAGATCGCGATCGTTGCCTTGATCCCGTCGAGCGTATAATTCGCGAAAAGCGACAGGTGAAAGCCCGAGCTGGGTGGCATCACTTGATCCCGTTCTGTCAGAACATTGACAGAATGCGAGCTGTTGGTCATGATTTCACGGACCAACCAGGCCTGAAAAGGCGAAACGATGCGATCATCTCTGTTGTCCACCATGATGATGGAAGTCTTTCGAGCATCGTCCTCGCATTCGGCGATCGACTCTATAAATTCAGGGAGCCGAACGTCGTAAGGGTTGTGAGCAGCTTGAGCTCGCGGGAAATTTCCGCCGCCACCCCTACGATCGTCCCTTCCGCGGCGACCGCCACCAGAGCCACCTTGCCACTGATCACGTCGGCGACCACCTTCAGCTTGCTCCTGAGCAGGAGGCTGGTACCAACCTTGGTGATCCCAGGCAGGAGCAGCAGCCATGGCTTCGATCCCCAGGCCCTATCTTCTCCTTCGCCACAAAAAAGCAGATCCTTCCCGGACCTTCGAGGCGATCGCCTCGACCCAAAATGGCCACGGGAAGTTCACATCTGAAAAGAACTGAATGAAAAGAGCAGACTGCAGATCGCATGCAGGAATGTGACCCTCCTATCCCAGACCTACCTACCCGTTGATAGGAGAACCAACGCACCGACAACGACAGCAACGACAATAGCTACACGCACAACAACATCAACAACAACAACAACAACGGCAAACACCACCACCACCACCACCACCACCACCACCACCACCACCACCAACAACAACACCACCACCACCACCACCGCCAACGCCAACGCCAACGCCAACGCCAACGCCACCGCCACCGCCACCACGACCAACAACAACAACAGCACCAAGACCAAGACCAAGACCAAGGCCAAGACCAAGACCAAGACCAAGACCAACAACATCAACAACAACAGCAAAACCAGCAACAGCAGCAGCAGCAACACCAGCAGCAGCAGCCGCAGCAACCAACATCAACACTACCAGTCACTACCAGCAACACCACCACCACCACCACCACCACCACCACCACCAACAACAACAACAACAACAACAACAACAACAATAGCAACAGGCAACGGCAACAGCAGGAACAACAACAGCAACAGGCAACGGCAACAGCAGAAACAACAACAGCAACAGCAACAGCAACTGCCAACAGCAACAACAACAACAACCACAACCATGGGCAGCATCAGCATCCGTCACCAACAATCTGCAGCACCATCATAAACAATATCATTCACATCCTGTTGCTATCAGCAATTACTTGTATTAGCAACAGCACCGCTTGCCATCCTTCCCGAAATTGACGGCTGCTCAACCGGCATTTAGTAAAGAAGGGCTCCGTTCGGATTTCAACCCCCGAAACAAAAACAGGGCACCTGGTAGGCAGAGGCTGCATTGACGGCCGCAACCCGATAGCCCTGCTTCATAAAGTGCCCAGCCACCTTAGCTCGAAGCATTCGATCCGTGAAGTTGGAGAACAACGAAAACGATGGGGAACACCGAGAGACAGCAACACTGGCGACTTTCATTTGTCATTCCAGTAGCGTTGTTCACAATGGAGGTTAATCGGAAGAGTCATCAACAGAATGAGCAAACTCATCATCGCTGTCAGTATACCTGTGCCCACGAACTCTGAGACTGTAAGCTGACCAGAGGCCCTGATTCCTGAGGAGCCATTAACTACCCTTTACATTAACCTATAAAAAAACCTCACGCAGTCAATGGGTTTGTTGCGACGAGCCGCTCTGAGTCTGTTCATGTCCTTCAAGGGTTTCGTATGTACTTAGCATTTCGGCGCATCTGGGCGCAGTTGGGGTTTGTGAGCGTTCGGCATTAATGATGTGCTTTGGGATGCGGAACTCTGGGGCTTTGAGGCTTCAGCATCGCGGGGATTGCAGGCTTTAGCATCACGGAAATTACTTCTCGAACGAATCGATGACGGTTCCCGGCTCCTTTTCACCAGGTGCCTATTACCACGGGAGCTTATTGGAAACCTGGCCCTAGAGTGTTGCAGAGTTGGACAGTCGGATCACGAGAGCTTACAGGGTGCGGGATAGGAAACCCTCGGTGGAGCCGTGCTGCACTTTCTTTTTCCTTCGAAGCCTCTTGCACAGATTGGGGTTTTTGATCGAGCGAGGGTCTCGTCTTGACAACATGTGGCATCTCTGTGGGAAACTGCTACTTGAGCAACTTCCTCAACTCGCGGAGCCTTCGGTTCGGCTTGCAACGTTTGCGAAGGATCAAAGGCTAACTCTGGCTGGCAGGATCGCATTGTAAGTGTTGCTCGAACATACTCGAATGCGTGCACGAAGATCATCCGGGGCACTGCCTTCGGCCACTTCTCCACCGTCGCCATGTAGCTGGACGTCTTCGCTATCTTGTTCTGGAATCCAAGGGGTTGGACCAGATGGCTGAGGGACGACATCGCGTAAGTCGTCTTCAGTCAGAGATACAGTCCGGACGACGTTCATTCGAGCATCCGTGTCAATGCCGAGGTCGAAATACACAAAGCACGCCAGAGACAGACTTAAGCTGCTGCCCATCAGAGAACAAATTGCTACGAAGTATGCAGTGGCATTGGTGGTCAGGTAAAACGTCGAATAGACCTGAAGCATGAAAGACAGTGGAGCTTCCACGAGCCTTTCCTTCTGCAGGAGGCGAAGGAAGTCGTCGCTTCTCAAGCCACGCAAAAGAGACTCGGACACGGCCCGATAGATCTTTCGAGGCCCCAGCTGAAATAGCTCCAAGAGAGACAAAGCAAGAATGAAACCTTGGACAACAGCGAACCTGTAGAAAGTGAGGAGCAGAAACTGCGAGAGAAGAAGCACATCGGAGACACAGTCATACATCCAGAAACAAAATTCTGCACGAATCCGCATGCGCGTCAGCCGAGGCCAGCCACTCTGAATCCTACCACGTCGCTGGAGCTCCTGGCGGTTCTTAGCGGGTATAAAGTTTACCAAGCTTACATACTTAAGTCGCCAAGGGTCTACAAAGCTCACACCCTCAAATATTGAACCCTCGGCCTCTGTGAGACGTTTCTCTTCGTTGTGGAGGGCCCTGACCAGATCCGAGCTCGCTGCAGGTGCCACATTCCGCCATCCCACCCGGCAGCCATGGCCGAGACAGAAGCAGAGCTTCACCAGAGGAGCCAATATGGAAATCCCCATGCTGACCATCATCGTCCAAAACAGCAGTCCAAGACCAGGCCCGGTGTGTTCCTGCGCAGTGACTGGCTCACCATATCCATAGAAGCCATATCCGTACCCGTACACGGCATCAGCGGATTCAAGTGTATACTCCCCATTCATGTTAAGCACTGACTCGCCGATCCAGGCGGTGGTACATAAATCCTCTTGCCACCAGGGTGTGCACAGGTTGCAGGTGCAGTAGCTCCGCAAGTTGGACTCGGATATGAGCTCTCGCATCCAGGTCGACAACAAATTCCGGCAGTGAAATCTGGTGCACCGTTGAGGAACTTCTCGCAACGCAGAGCCCAAACCTACAGCTGCGATGTCCTCCTGCCACTCGCACAGCTCACTTCCGTGTTGCATATGACAGTGTGTCTCAAGCACCACTTTCGCGGTCTTTCCATTTTGACACGCGTGTGTAGTCTCCGTGCGAGTTCGCACGGTCGACCAAAACAGCCCGTCGGCACTCAGATTTTCCGCCGGTACTGCATCCGACGGACATTCGGAGAATAATCCATGTGTCTGGTTGCCACAGATGTCCAAACGCTGTGAATATCGTCCGTCAGCTCCTTCACTCGCAGCTTCGCAAGCCCTGGACAGATCAATCCTCATGTCCTCTGAAAAAGTACTGCAGTTCTGCTTCTGCTGACGCAACAGCTTGCACCAACCGTCCACTCGCCCCTGCTTCTCGCAAATTTCGAGCTGTTTATCCAGCAGTTCGTCACTGTACAGCTGTTGCGTCTCCGGCACATAAAAGAAGTAAGGGTCGTGACAGTGCGGAGTCCCTAACCAATTCATAACCGTTGTTTCATGGGCCACATAGACAGAGCAGGCAAACTGAATCAGCCATAACCCGGCGAAGGCCCTTGCAGCCGGGAGCTGTGTTCCCAAACCGAGTCTGGAGCAGTATGTGGGTCGGAACCTTAAGCGTCAAGGAGGCTTTGGCAAGGTTCCGCTTGAAGTCGGGTGGGTTGAAGTGCAGTGCAGGGTGTGGGGATCAGCATATGGTTCGATCCTGGAATCTAGGGCGACCAGGGTATTCCGTACAGGCTCACGGGATTTCCACAAACAGTAAAAACGGGTCGGGTTAGGAATGGTTTCAATCTAGGGCATCCGTTGTATCCCTTAGGGACTGATAGGAAAAGCGTACAAGAGAAGAACCGAGAGCAGATGCGCAGGGCACCGGATTGGATCAAGCAGGTTTCCCGCTCGCCAGGCAACCAGGACGTACACGATGAACAGAAGTGCCAGTGACACGTACGCTGAGGTTAACAGATGAATAAGGAGCAGTGGGCTCATTGCAACCACATCCACAAAAGAAGCAAACCAGACAAGCCATCCTGATCGTTTACAGGCGTGTGATGGATGCTGCATTGCAACCTTTGCACTATTCAGGTTCGACAGCAGGGTTCTGACTTTAGGACCCTCCGACCTCGGTTCACCATCGTTCGCTGCGAAGCGACATAGCGCACACCCCAGCGGAAGCTGGACACGAATTCCATGCCAGCGGCCGACGCACTAGGCCTGACTCCTTTACGATCCTCTTGGGTTTATGGCTCATTGCACCAGGTTTTGGATGTGAGATCCTTTAGCTATTTAGCCTTAGCAAAAAGGATTAGTATCTCAGGCCTTCCATACACGAGTGCGAGGCAGTAACATAGCATAGCCGACATTGCTGCAATCTGAAACTACATTTCCACAACTCCAGAAACTACAGAACATGCGATCCTCGGGACTCCAAGTGGTAGCCCTTAAACTACACCCCAAGAAGATGGCCGTCCAATCCCTCTGAGACTGGCTCTGAATAAGTGGTACAGCCTTTCGTGGCAGTTTAAACTTTCGGGTTTAGGGTTAGGGCACAAGATCTAGGACGCCGTACTCATGGCTTGGGGTCCCCTTTGGGGACTCGAAGCGGGTACGATAAACAGCTGCGGGAAGCCTGCGCAATCTAGCACTGTGGAGCATGCCAAAGCCTGCAATTGCAAAACCAGGAAACGGGACCATTGGCCTGCCGATTAGGTTTAACTCGGAACGACCTGTTCGAAAGGAAAGGGGCCTGAATCGATGCGGATCATGATTTACATTACATCAGGACACAGGGCACCGCCGCCGAGCCAGATGAAGCCCGGAGCCAAATCTTGTGGGCCGAGCCGTTGAGATTCGTAAGGTGAGGCCCAAATCAGAATTGCAACCTTGAACCCGTACAAGCCCCAAAGCAAAACAAACACCGCAACACCCAAAAAAAACGAACAAACTCGAACCCCTCGTGCGATCTCGACATTGATCTATGCAGCTCGCATGTGGTTTAGGGTTTGCGTCATGCGGGTGCAACGGGCAATTGAAACTGCTGAACCCAACCAAATAAACTGTGACTTGCAAGCTTCAGTCTCAATCCTCGGGTGACGGAAGCAAAATTACTGTCCTCAAGGCCGCATGCTTTCAATCCTAGTTGTCTACGTAGGCACAGTCTGAACTGTATGCATTTGTGTATGTGTGTATGTATGTACGGAATATGGATGTATGCATGCATGCATATGTTTATGAAACAAGAGGCGCTCCGAAAATCACGAGTGCGTAGAGCAGAAGTCGATAAGAGGACGACCCAGACGTTTCGAGCTGCTTTCGTCACTCGTCGTGTACAACTGAAGAACAATGCTAATCATGCACCATTCCGGAAAATGCCAGTTCACGGCATTTGATGCATAAAGCGGCGGACTTGAGCCACTCAAGCACCGTAAGACCGGATATGTTCACCATCGTCCGTCAATCAAGTGCACAGTGGCTGCCCACATGTGTTCTCCTCATTGTATTCTACACCTTGTTTCGCACACGCCTGCCAGTGAGGGTGTCCAGCGAAACTGTGGCTGATGCGGAACTCTCGTAGAGGCCATCATACTCTCAGTTTCCGCTGACTTCGCTTTGCCGTCCCGATATTTCGGACAAGCTCTACGTATTCTACTTCGGCGCATAGACACCATGGTGCTACTCAAACTGTTGTCAAACCTTGAGCCACACTGGCTCCACGGAGAGTCCGCAGCCAGGACCCTCAATCCAACCTGATATGTGGACTTGTGATCCTGCGAATCCTAGCACTACGTGCCGGTTTTTGTGAGGAATCGTCTCCTCTACACCCTAAGCTCGCAACACAAGGTCCATGTAAGTTGAAACAACGCCAGAAACTCTGGAATCTCCCACAGCTCTGGCTTTGCACCTCCATCACAGTCTCGCCGACTGCCAGGTGCAGTTCCTGCACTTACAACCCAAAGCTTCAGAGCTTAGACCAAAAAACAACAAACGAACAGCACTCAGCATGTTGTCAAGTTTATTGCAACAGGAGAGAGTGCAAGTAGTGAGCAGCTGCTTCCAGGGACAGGTCCATGCCCAGAAGGTTCTCTGGGCAGCCACACCGCGAACGGACCGCTGCAAAGCCAAGCTAGCTTGGCAACATGAAGAGGGTTGTCATATCGTGTGGTGTTACCTCGTCACCTCTTCTCTTCGGGCTGGAGGCGTTCGTTCGTGCTCACAGCGGCGAGGCTGCAACGAATTGTTTTGTCCTGGCCATTTAGCGATAAAGCCTGTCACATGTTGGAGCATGATTTATGGGAAAATCCAAAACAATTGAAATGACTGCGACAGAAGCTTCTTGAAAACCCCTATGCGTGGAGAAAGCCAGGCCTTAAGCCCTAAACCCTGAACAAAGGACACGCTAGCCTGGAGTGTCTGCACCTCGAAGTTCAAGGACCTCAGGAAGGCATGTTCGAAAATTCCTGGCTTACGGGTTCGTTCTTCTCTGATTCCAAAACCGCCGTGAATCGCGCTTGGAGGACATCCGAATTCGAAGCCCTGCTGCAGCCTGGCCAGACTTCGGTGTCTTATACCTTCGGCAGTAGCAATCGAAAAGAACGAACCGCACATCACGATGCCTACCTATCTTTGTGCTCCAACTCAAGTGCGATAAAAACAAACCAACAAACAAGTCCTCCCAACTACTCTGAGGTCCGGGCGGTGGCCCCTCTGCGGGGATCGCAGGAGCAGGTGCGTAGACCTTCGCAGCTCTGGGTGGAAGTTGCTTGCAAGTATATAATTACCATTCTGAGTGCAGTAGTCATTGCCATACAGCCCACTGCCTGACTCCACGTGACGCTGTAGTGCAGTATATATATATATATATATGTAATGTATATATTCTGGAGCATCTGCAAAGTTGTACCAGCCTTTGCAATTACAGTCCTCATGCTTACATTACACCCACCCTATATTACGTCAATCGACCATCCCTGGTTCTTCGAGCTACCATAGTTTGGAATCAAGTGCTTCTGCAGGCACTATCTCTGGTGGTTGCATAGAACTCAGGTGATTGCAAGCCAGCGTCTGGGAAGCGTAGTGACAGTGATGTACTCGTCCCAATCAGCAGAGTCATAGCATTACGGACTTACGACACCTACAATGACGACTGGCGGTAGTTACGCTAGCTGTAACCCCTCTAAACAGTACTAGTGCCTGTGGCAAGTTAGTTGTATGAGCTATAGCAGCAAATATATAGAGTCTGGGAATGTGGGAGATAGCTGTCTGGGCCGCCGATCTTTGGTACCACAAAGCATCTGGTGGAAGTTGTCAAAGGACACTTCCTGCGCCAAGGAGTTTCAGCTCAGGGCGGAGGGTCAAGACTTGCAACGTCGCATGGGAATCTTTTTTACAGCAAAACACAGCTGTTTGGCCAGTGGTGGGGTTGTGTTCTTTTTTCTCGAACTACAGACTCACCAAGCCCTCCGAATTTGATCGGTAGTAGGTGCTGATGCACGTTTCTACATTTGCATGAACTGTGGCGGATGGCATAATGCCGGATCCTTGTCTGGTGCCATGCGGAAGCCTCGCGCCCAGACCTCAGCACGGCTAGGATGCCTGGAAAGCCCCCAAAGCCCTAAGCATAGACTGAGTTCCGGGATGGCTGTTTCTTCAGGATCTGAGGCTGTAGCGTAGGATGCAGGGTGGTGGAGATATGGTTCAGGGTACCCAAGCCCAGAGCAAACACCTGAGCAAAACGTCTTAGTGCTTAGACCCACTTCCTCAGAAGCAAAATTCAACAATTTTGAATCTTGGATAGTAACAGACCATGAACCCTAAATCCAGGGCATTCAATGAGTCCCCCGCTGCTCGTTGTGTCAGCACAAAAGCCTGCACATAACGAACATAGGGGCAGCAAAGGTTAGAGAGAACTCTTCACAGGGTTCCTTCATACCCTGATACTCTGATGAGGTCCCTACATCAGCGAACTCAGGATCCTACAAGAAGAATCTACATAGTTGTAGAAGACTCATGAAAGGCTTCTCAGTTTCGGCTAGGTAGACAACGGTGTGTATGAATGCGTAATCCCACTCTCTGTTGTCATGCTCTGCAGATTCTCGCAAGAAGAGATTTCGCACTTGTCTCCCTGGAGCTCGCAGCCCAGTTAGGAAACAGCCAACCTACATGAAACACCGGCTTCCACATCTGGGATGATTCGAAGTCATGACTTCCCACGGGAGCAATAGTTCAAAACTAGAAAATCGAATCCGAACGTTTAGGACTTTGTGGTTTAAGTGCCTGGCCACCAGAAGTGCACGGATTCGCGGCGCAGGCTACATGTTCAGGATATCGGGTAGGAGAGCGCTTTTCTGGGCCAGTTTGTTGACTTGTGGGACATAAGATCTGTGGCTCAAGATGTTGTAGGCCAGGTCGGACTTCAGCACAATCGTGATACTCGAACCCCAACTCCTGAACGGCACAGCGCGAACATCACAATCCCAAACCTCTCCCCTGGCGTCTACGATGGAAGCCTCCAAACGCCAAAGCCGAGCATCGCCATCGTTGTCCCTGCGAAGGCAGTGGCCCCAGGACTTGAGTCTAGGCTTTTCGGGACAGGGTGTTGGGCCTGGGTTTGGGGTTTGCTGAGCTAGCCGTGGCTGAGTTCGTGCACTGCCGCGCTGAATACAACAATAAGAGTGTACCCATGTACATGTATGAACGCATACGGGCAGGTAACAGTACCCAAACAGCTGAAACATTCTGCTACATCGCGCCATGAGGAACTTGTGCTGTGGCACTTGTGGCCTGGATCATTATAGACCGGGGCTGGGTTTGTATCTTGAATAGCACATGCATGCATGCATGCATACACAGACGCAGCTGCTGCTGATTCTGGAGCTTCCTATACCTCAATTCTCAAAGTCGACGGAAGCACCTGAGTCTACGATCTGCCTCGACGATCAAGTGGAACGCTCGCCATTGTACATCTCTTTCGGCAACACATGAACTTCCCAAAAGTAACGAGCGCAATCAACAGTTCACCCAAGGTATAATTACTCGTTTTTATACTCGGGGTTGAGAGCCAGTGCTTCAGAAGCAAGGATAAGTAGGTAGTAACCTTCTTACCGCGAGCACTTCGGACAGAGGTGGTTCGTCAGAAGGCAGCAGCAATCAGATTTTCCCAACAGACTGCTAACCTGAGTCTTGGCCTCAGCCC